ATTGAGGGCCTCCCATCTTCCATTGTTTACTCTGGGATTTTTTCCTCTAAAAAGGATCTTTCTTTTTGTCTTCCCGTCTAGAGCCTCTTTTGTCCACTTGGTATGTGTCGGTTGCTTTTGTTTAGCAGTATATCAACATCTCTGTGGGTTATTTAATGTCGAAATATAAATATTTTGTACGCAATTTTTATTTTTATTTTTTAAGATAATAATGGTTTTAGTGATACAAGTCTTATTAATTAACCCATAGCTGGAGGAGAAGAGGTGAATTCATACCTTTCCCAAGGGTATTAGTGCGTAAGTGAATATAACGAACGCAAGTGGAACTGGAACCCGGCTCGCTGATTAATAATTCAGAGCCATTATCCATTAAAACAAACGTACATCTAAGTTTACAGCGCCTGGTATTCCTAAGCGGTCACCCATCTGGATGCTGAACATACTTGACGTTTCTTAACTTCGAGACTGTCCATGACCCAGGTTTCCAAATGATGTAGCAGTAAGCCACCCAGTATGCGAGAAAGCAAGAAAAACTTGAAAAAAAGATCATCAAAGGAAAAGTTCCGTAGTTTTCAACGACAAATGATTATATATATATATATATATATATATATATATATATATATAGCAGTTTTAGCGTCGGCCAGCGTTGCCCGTGCTTGATTAAAAAATCGTACGACATCATACAGCAATCGCTATCACTTGACTTCCGAAAAGGTGTGTAACCGTATTTTTGCCCTTCCTTGCTTTTAAAGGAGTGCCTTTTGCCGTGCTGATGTTGCTACATGCCTTACTTCTTGCCTATCTCACACTGCGAGTTTTTTAAGCTTTATACTAAAACATTAAATCTGTTACGAGAAAAAGAACTAAACAAAATGAACACAAAAAAGATCAGCTTTAAAAAGGAGGACTTGTAACTGGAAAACCGAATGAAAAAAAATTTTTTTTGTACGAATGTTAACAACAAAATACTTTTTTCACATCGAACCCAGTTCTGCGGAATCAGAATCAACGTTGAGTTTAAGCAAAGCGAATGAGCCAATTGGAGTAAAGTGCCATGCAGATTTAAACTTTTCCTGTCCATGGTACTTGTGACGAATGCAGCTATCGATTTTTTTTTGCATATTGATATTTTTATGCGAGTTAACATTCGTGTCAGACAGCTGTTGGCTCTCACGCTGGCTAATAGAATCTTACTGCCTATTCGTGGCAGCCAGCTATAGGCTCTCACCTGGCCAGTAGAAATGGCTGCAACCAAATCTGTTAAAATGAAAAACTGCCGTAGAAGCATGAAAAAAAACGATTACTTCCACTATGGAAGTTGGGAAATGCAAAGTCTGTCTTGGCCTTCCCTGCTTAACTTGGAACATGTGCATGTAAATTTTGGTGCAACTGTCGAAAATTGCGGCCGTGCATTCGTTACACACAAACACACATTATCCTGCTTATATATATATATATATATATATATATATATATATATATATATATATATATATATATATTGTGACGTAGCCACGATTTCATTAACCACATCGGTGTAAGGCTAAAACACATTTCAGCCTCAGAAGACTGGTCGACAGTCCACGAAGTAGTACTCCCTAAACGGTACAGACCGGAGGTCATGAGAACAGCTCATGAGATCCCACTGGGGGGGGTCACCTTGGCGTTAACAAGACGCACGATATGATCATCAGACACTTTTACTGGTCGGGTATCCGAAGGGACGTGTCTGAGCATTGCCGGACTTGCCACACCTGCCAGGTAGTAAGGAAGCCGAATCAGAAAATCCCCATCGCACCCCTACATCCCATTCCTGCCTTCGAGGAGCCATTTTGTCGCATTATCTTAGACTGTGTTGGTCCGTTACCCCAAACTAAGTTAGGGAACAAATACCTGCTAACCATCATGTGCGCCTCGACCAGGTTTCCCGAAGTGATACCCATGAGAAATCTTTACGCCAGGAAAATAGTAAAGGCCCTCATTAGCTTTTTCACCGTGGTCGGCTTACCCAAGGTGATACAGTCAGAGCAGGGATCCAACTTCATGTCAGGGGTGTTTCAACAAGTTATGAGAAGTTTGGGTATAAAATCCATTAAGTCAAGCGCCTATCACCCCCAATCTCAAGGTGCCTTGCAGAGGTTCCACTCCACCTTGAATAGCATGATGCGAACATATTGCCTGGACCACCAACACGATTGGGACGAAGGTATTCCATTTCTAATGTTCGCTGCTCGCGAATCCGTACAGGAATCGTTGGGGTTCAGCCCATTTGAGTTAATATTTGGGCATTCAGTCCGCGGTCCTTTAAAGGTGCTGAAGGAAGGTTGGTTGCGGGAAGACCCTGTTACGGTTTTTTGGGTATATACCGCCTATAACTAGTGAGTGAGTCAGAATGACTTATTTCCCTTTATAGTCGACCAATGGAAGGTTGACCAATCAGAAGCCGCACAACACTGTATTCGTCGTGTATAAAGGCGGCCATCTTGTTTCGTCTACCGGAAGGACCAAAGGCGACCAGGAGAAGGATGAACTACACTCTGCTGTGATATCCACTGCGAACCTGCAGTACGCTTTCCTACTGTCTCCGAAATATTCACTGCCAACCTCTGGATTCTATACTCGAGGACGACCGTCATGAAAATGTCTAACAGACCCGGTAACAGAAAATTTGCTGGAATATGTTTCACGTTTCCGAACCCGACTAGCAGAAACGTGTGAACTGGCCCGCGAGAACCTCCGATCGGTTCAGCATAAAACGAAAGACCGATTCGACCGAGACACGGTCGAACGGAGTTTCGAGGTCGGAGATAAAGTGCTAGTTTTAATAGCCTTGCCCGGACATCCTCTCAAAGCTCGATTCCATGGCCCGTATGAAGTGGTCAGGAAGGCCGGTGACCTCAACTACGTCGTAAGAACTCCTGATCGGAGGAAATCGACGGAGATGTGTCACATTAACATGCTTAAGCCTTACTATGAACGGAGAAAGACCGACTCTGTATTAGTGATCAGTGGGCCTAACACTACGCCTGAGCCCACGGAGATCCGAGGAGGAGTTTCGGAAAGGGGTGACCACCTCACCAAACTTTACAACTCCGAGGTACTAGCTGATCTAAGTGAGAAACTGTCGCATTTAGCCTTTCAGGAGAGGAAGGATTTAGCTTCCCTTATCGAGGATTTCAGGAGCCTGTTCCCCGACGTACCCAACCAAACCACCATTACTTACCATGATGTGGAAGTAGGAGATACCACCCCCATTAAATAGCATCCCTACTGAGTCAACCCACGGCAAGCCGCTATCCTACGTGGAGAAATAGCCTACATGCTAGAGAATGGCATTATCGAGCGTAGCCAAAGCAGTTGGTCCTCCCCCTGCGTGCTGGTGGACAAACCTGACGGCTCGGTTCGGTTTTGCACCGACTACCGAAAGGTGAACGCCGTCACTAAGACGGACTCGTACCCCATTCCTAGGATAGACGACTGTATTGATAAAGTAGGCAAGGCCACTTATATTACGAAGCTCGACCTATTGAAGGGTTATTGGTGTGTGCCCCTAACCGAGCGCGCTAAGGAGATATCTGCTTTCGCGACTCCGGATGGCCTGTATCAATATCGCGTGATGCCTTTTGGGATGAAAAATTCCCAGGCCACTTTCCAGCGAATGATGAACCATTGCCTACGAGATCTGGCTGGAGTCGAGACGTACATCGATGATATAGTCGTGCACAATAACACCTGGGCCGAACATATATCACTATGAAAAGTCTTCGATCGGTTGAAGCATGCCAACCTCACCATTAACCTCGCGAAAAGTGATTTCTGCCAGGCCGAAGTGACGTATCTCGGACACGTTGTCGGCCATGGGCGGATAACTCCGATCAAGGCAAAAATACAAAGTATAGTCAAGTACCCAGCCCCAACCAACGTAAAAGGCCTGAGGAGATTTCTCGGAATGGCGGGTTACTATCGAAAGTTCTGTAAGAATTTCTCTGATGTAGCCTCACCGCTTACACAATTGTTGAGGAGGAAAGCCAAATTTGATTGGACACCCGACTGTCAGCGATCCTTTGATCAAATAAAAGCCTTGTTGTGATCAAACCCTGTCCTCAAAGCTCCTGAATTTATCCGACCATTCAGGTTAGCTGTAGATGCAAGTGACCATGGCATTGGCGCTGTATTACGACAGACCGATGCAAATGGCATCGAACACCGTCAGTTATTTCTCAAAAAAATTTAACAATCAGCAGAAAAATTACTCTACAGTAGAAAAAGAAACTCTTGCCCTTTTGTTAAGCCTGCAACACTTCGAAGTGGATGTGTCTTCGTCCAGTCAGCCTACTTTAGTATACATTGACCATAACCCACTAACCTTCCACAGGAAAATGAAGAATAAGAACAGACGACTACTATGCTGGCGTTTAGCGTTACAAGAATACGATCTGACTATTCAGCACATAAGAGGCGTCGACAACGTGTGTGCTGACGCTCTATCCCGTATCTGATCGATAAGCTTTTGAGGATCAAACGGGGACGAAAACCCTTTTTTCTTTTTTTAGAAAACTGCCATTGATGGCATTTTTCTTCTTTTTGGTAAGGAGGTGTGACGTAGCCCTGATTTCATTAACCACATAGACGTTAGGCTAAAGAGCACCCCAAAGTGAAATCTCACATTCTAGTCGAAAATTAGTTAGATATAAAAGAAAAAATAAATAAAATAGATAAAGTCCAATGCTTTCGAGCGAATATGTTCCATGATCAGCCATACCCTCCTCTTCTCTTCACAAATTCTTTCCCTCGTTACCTACTCTTCCACCCACAAGCCAAGGACCCGTGAACTTTGAAGTGACCCGACTCGAGAATGACCTGGTTCCAAAATTACGCAGCAATCATCCGTTTGACCATAAGTGAATTCCAGGCACCATCAGGATCTCGTGCTGCGATTCACGTGATCAGACCATACTAAGCGTGGATTGAACTTTTGGCCATCACACAAACACTGC